TTTCCTCTTCCTTCATCTTCTCATTAATTAATTTTGTAATTTTGCTTAGATTTATATTTGGCATTCACATTATGATGATGATGATGATGTACTATCTACAACTGAAGCCATCTGGTAAACCATGGTTAATCTTTCTCTTCCTGAACTACTTTGTTTTCCCTATCTTGTTTTTCATTTGTTTGATCTCTTATCCCATACCTGCTGAGGACTACCAAATCTTTTTCTCCAGCCAAGTTTTCTCTCTTAAGTCTCAAACCTATAGATTTTTTTAATTCAACAAATAATAAAAACATCTACTGACCATCTACTATATTGTCTGATATTGTACTGAGACTAAACACTCTAGGTATATTATTATCTCAGTTAATCCACATGCTACTATTTTGAGCTGGGTACTATTATAGACACATCTTTTACAAATAAAGAAAAAAGTTTAGAAAGTTTAACTTAATCAAGTACACAGCTAGTAAGTGTAGAGACATGATTCAAAGTCAAGCAGTGTGACTCTAGAACCTATGATTTTTAACCACCTATATTCTATATTCTTTCAATGAATATATACCAACTGGAAGCCACCATAATCCTAGCATAGTCTGTACCATGATAAATAAATCAGACTATTCTCCTTGCCTTCATGGAGTTCACAGTCTAGCAGGTATGTCATACAAACAAGACCACATAATAAGAATGCAACGGAGCACAAAGGATAAGTAAAGTAACAAATAGAAGAATACATAGAACATAGACAAGAAATCTAGTTAGACTTTCATTTTTTAAAGGAAATATTTGTTGAGCACATACTATGTGCCAGGCACTATGACAGGGGCTGAGGACACAATGTTAAGGCAAACAAGACTTTTCCAGGCTGGGAAGGGGAAAGGGAGAGGAAAAAATGAGTGATCCAGGCAGAGGAAAGAGCATGTGCAAAGGCCAAGAGCTAAAACAGCATAAACTGTTCCAAGTGCTGAAAGTAATTCAGAATAACTATAATATATAATTGTAATATAGGAGGGATGAGTTATGACACTCAAGAGATAAAAAAAGAACCAAATCAGAGAGGCCCGTGAGGGCAATGTTAAAGAGTTTGGACTTTAGAATCATGCCAGATTTGGTACTCACAGGGTATGTGTGTGGAGAGGGATGTGATTGTATTTGTGTTATAAAACTATTTCTTTGATTATGATGTAGAGAATGGATTAAATGGAAGTATGACTGAAAGAAGAGAGAGCAAATAGAAGGCAGTTGCATTATACTAGATTAAGGGTTATTATGGTCTGGATTACAGTGAGAAAAAAGTAGATTCGTTCCAAAGATATTTATGAGATAGACTTGCCAGGAAATGGGGATAATTCATTCCTTTATTTATTCCAGAAGAATTTATAGGATACCTAGTATGTGTCAAGCACTGTGCTACACTCTAGCAGATACAATGGTGAAGGTAGATATCATCCCTTGCCTTGATATATCTTACAATACAGAAGACAGATACGAGAAAAATACTTACACAAATAATTATAACTGTTCTCTAAAGGAGAAATACTGGGTGTTTTAGAATCTGACCCAGTTAGGCCAATGTCAGGAGTCAGAGAAAACTTGAGAAAATGACTTTATTTTGGTAAATATACATAATATTTACCATTTTAACCATTTAAAATCGTACAATTCAGTGGCATTAAGTGCATTTGTAATGTTGTATAACCATTACCATTATCTTCTTCTAAAACTTGTCTATCACCCTAAACAGAAACTGTGTCCCCACTAAGCAGACCCTCCCCATTGCCCTATGGCAGCCACTAATCTGCATTCTGTTTCTATGGATTTGCCTATTGTGGCTATTGCATATGAATGGAATCTTAAAATATGTGGTTTTATGTCTGGATTCCTTTACTTAGTTTTCAAGGGTTATCCATGTATCAGTAATTCATTCATATTTATGACTAATATTCCACTGTAGGGATATATCACATTCTGTTTATTCATTCATCAGTTGTTGGACATTCGAGTTGTTTCTACCTTTTGCTTATTTTGAATTAGAGCTGCTATGAAAATTCATGTACAAATATTTGAATACTTTTTCAATTCTTTTGGATATATACTTAGGAGTCAAATCTGGGTCATATGGTAATTCTATGTTTAATTTATTAAGGAACCACCCAACCATTTCCCACAGTGGCTGCACCATTTTGTATTTCCACCAGCAATGGGTTCCAATTTCTCCACATCCTCATCAGTATTTGTTATTGTCTATCTTTCCTATGATAGACATCCTAGTGCACGTGAAGTGATATGTTATTGTAGTTTTGATTTCCATTTCCCTAATAACTAATGAGAATGAGTATCTTTGCATGTACTTATTGACTATTGGTATACCTTCTTTAGAGAACTGCCTATTCGAGTCCTTTGCCCATTTTTAAATTGGGTTAGTTTTTGTTGTCAGGTTGTAAAAATTATTTTTCTGGATATTAACAGCCTTATCAGATACATAATTTGCAAAAATTATGTCCAATTATTTAAGTTATCTTTCACTTTCTTGGTGAAAGATAGTGCACCTTCTGGTGCACAAAGATTTTAATTCTGCTGAAGTCCAGTTTATCTATTCGTGTTGTTGTTTGTCATTCAAGGCTATGAAGATTTGCCTCTATGTTGTCTTCAAAGAGTTTTATAGTTTAGCACTTAAATTTAAGTTATGATCCATTTTGAGTTGATTTTTGTACGTGGTGTTTAAGGGTCAAGCTACACTCTTTTGCGTATGGTTATCCAGGTGTTCCAGCATCACTGTTGAAGAGACTATTCTTTCTCCATTGAATGGTCTTGGCACCTTTGTCAAAAATCAATTGACCATAGATGATGGGTTTATTTCTGGACTTTCAATTCTATTCCATTCATCCATATGTCTGTCCTTATGCCAATACTACACTATTTTGATTATTGCAGCTTTGTAGTAATTTTTGAAATTGGGAAATGTGGATCCTCCAACTTCGTTCTTCTGTTTCAAGACTGTTTAGGCTATTCTGGATCCCTTGCAATTCCATATACATTTTAAGATTGGCTTTTCCATTTCTACAAAAACAAAACAAAACAAAACTCCACTGGGATTTTAATAAGGATTGTATTTAACCTGAAGATGGTTTGGGGGAATATTGCCATCTTAACAATATTAAGCCTTCTAATCCATGAATGTGGGAAGTCTTTTCACTTAATTAGGTCTTCATTAATTTCTTTCAGCAATATTGTGTAGTAGGAAGTTGACTGAATGTGTGCAGTGAGAGGGGAATGGAATGACCAGAGATGGCATATGGGCACAGGGCTCAGGCATCTGACATGGTAGCTGATGACACTCTACTATGGGAAACAAAGATAGAGGATGCAAGGGGGAGATATTGTTGAATTTAGTCTAGATGTACTGAATGAAACACAACGCCCATGAGATATTTAACTTGGAGGGTTGACAATCTTCTTTCAAAACACCCTTACTTCAGCAAGAGTGGATGCTTTGTACTGAACATGACATTTCAAAGTGGAGAGCTCTTTTTCAGATTTTTTTGTCATTAAGAAAAGAATATGTCTCCTATAGTTTTTGCATTGTATATTTTATGGTAGTCTCTACCATATCAGTAAGCTATTATATATTTATCTCAAGTGATTAGAATCTCATTTAAAATGATATGTGTTCTTAAATACTACCATAAGAAAAAATCCTTTCTTTGAGTTTTAACATAGAATACAGTTGCAGTTTCCCAACCTTTGGATAATGTTGACCCCTTCATAATTAGCATATAATTTTCCTTTAAATATTCTGTAATTAACAGCAAAAGTCAAGTACAGTATACTTCTAATCAAGTATGGAAATATTTTCTCACATACTTCATTCCTAGTCTCTCATGTTCCTCTCCCCACATACTGCCCTCAACATACAACATATGTTAAATACAAATGACAGATGACACTCAACTCCAGCTCTCCTAGGAGGTACATAGACTAAAATTAATGCTGTGGTGACCTAGTGCTTAGGTCATTGTATCACCTACCAAAGGTTAATTTCACATATTTATCAGTATATTACTTAATATTAGAAAGAACAACTTTTTTGCATATTATTCTCTAAAATGTTTACAGAAAGGACATCTTATTTTAAAAAATTATTCAATTTTTAAAAGCAATCTGTAATGACTGCCTTGAGCTAGATGAGTAAACCTCAAGGTTTTTAAAAATCAAACTAATGTGAATATATAGCATGAATTTATAGTAAAATATCAGAGTGCTAGTGATTAAACAAGACCTAAATCAGGGCACTGTCCTACTGTAGTGATACTGCATAGTAACTATATAAAATGAGAAACTGTCTACTTCATATGAATATTATTAATGACAGGACTTTTTTTTTATTAAAATGGCAAGAATACAAATATCAATCAATAAAATACAGTAGTGTCAGGCTTTAATATCAACATTAAATCAAAGCCTATGGAGAGAAAAGGTAAGAGATTTAGGAAATTTTAGGAGAAATAAGAAAACATCACTAAACTTGTTACTCTACGTTACAGACACCTGCAACAGGCAAATAAATAAATAAATAAATAAAATGGCAATTAAGTTGATTGCAGTACTTTAATATTTTAAGGAAAACTTATTAAAATACAGATTTTTAAAAAAATCTTACATTCTTGACAAATATAGCATCACCTACCTTTCTAAAAATAGTACGGGTAAACACAATTGCAGAAAATGTATGTTAATTAGTGGTACAATACTATGGATTTAAAAACTCTGACACACTCCTACTATCTGCTGCTTTGAAATCAGATTATGGCCTGGAAATTATGTCAGGTTGGTTCCCAAATGGAATATTGGGTCCCAGGCCAGTATTGGTAAACTTTGCCCATTTTGGCACAACTTCTCCAGCAATGAAAGCATAAATCACAAAGAAAAAATTTAACCAATTATTTGAGATATCAAGAAAGGAAAGGAAAGGAAATCAGTTTTGTAAAAACACTTTTCCCTCTTTTTATAAGCTTCTTTATTTACTCCGGATAGTTAACATAACAGTGTTCAATAGTGAAGTAAGCAGATTTTACACTCACTATTACTGCACGGATAGAAAGAGCCATATGCATTTTTGTTTTTATAAGTCATCTCAGATCACTGCAATATGGCACAGGAGAACAGAGATTCAGAGGCACAAAGTTAATAAATACATTTAACATTGTCAAGCATTCAAAAGATAAATGCAATCATGTAGCAAAAAAAAAATCAGTTTGTAACTTTGACCTTTCCCAAGGATGTGAAGAATCTTCGTGTGTCAGAAATCTCTATAGCAAAGATTCCTATGAGAGAGGAAAAAATTGCACATTAATATGTTTAACTCAAAGATTTCACTGATGTATAAAAAAATGTATTCTGACATTATTTTGGCAATACTTAAAATTTTTTTCCCAGCCTCTGTGAAAGAAAACATATACAATGTATTTTTTTTATTCAGCTTTCACAAACTGTGATACCTCCATAATATGGAATAATATTCAACAATAAAAAGAAATGGGGTGTCTGGGTGGCTCAGTCATTAAGCATCTGCCTTCGGCTCAGGTCATGGTCCCAGGGTCCTGGGATCGAGCCCCGCATTGGGCTCCCTGCTCTGAGGGAAACCTGCTTCTCCCTCTCCCACTCTCCCTGCTTGTGTTCCCTCTCTCACTGTGTCTTTCTCTGTCAAATAAATAAATAAAATCTTTTTTAAAAAAATCAAAATAAAAAGTATAACAAAGCAAACAAAACTGTGGTACAGACATACAAGGAAATACTGCTCAGCAGTTAAAAGGAACATGCAACAACATCTGACCCATACAACAACCTGAATATATCTCAAATATATTATGCTGTGTCAAAGTCAGCTACTAGAGGCTATATACATGATTCCATTTATAGGACAACTTTGAAAAGGTAAAACTATAGGGCCAGTAAACAGATCAGTGGTTGGGGAAAGTAAATTAAGTTCACTGACTGTTGTCTAGGTAATAGGTGGCAGTCAAAACATACCATTTAAAACTAACAGCAAAAGATTAAGAAAAAAGGGAATTAATGGCACTATTAAAATTACTAATAGAAAGGTGACTACTATAATAAAATGCAAACCTTGAATATCAAAAGAAATGACCAAAAGCAAAGAGCCAAATTGAGAAATACAATAAATGTCACATGATAAACACAGTTATAAGATAATATGAGAGTTCAGATCAAATTTCACATTCATATCAATAATGTGAAAAAGCTTACCTCATCCATTATTTTAAAATGACTCATAAAGCAAAACTTAAATCCATACTATAAATAAGAGATATACTTAAAATTCAGTCACTCAGAAAAGCTAAAAATAAAGAGATCGACAAAAATTTGCAAGGCAGTTGAAGATATTAAGTATTTGCAACTCTAATACTAGACAAGCACCTTCCACCTCCAAAAAATTAAATGCATCAGAAAAGTACACTTCATAAAATTCACATCCCAAAATGTAGATATGACAGTTCAGAATATCCATGCAGCAAATAAAACAGTAAACCTACATAAAACAAAATTTATAGGATATAAAAAGAAATAAAAACATAATAATAAAAGGAGATTTTAAAGTACCATTCTTAGTAAAACAGGTCAAGTGAACAAAACTTAAGCAATGACATAAAAGAACTAAATAAAATCAAAAAGGAAAATCTTTTAGAGATATAGACACTAGAAATATATACCCTGATAAGAAAGAATACATCTTTTCAGGTGCACATGAACTATCCACAAAAATTGATCATGTAGTAAAGTACAAAGAAAACATCAGTAGCTTCCATGATAGAAATATTATAAACAATACTCTCTAATCACAATACAATAACACTAGAAATTTAAAAATGAAATGGAAACACAAAAAGCTCTTCTTATTGGAAACTACAAGATTTTCTATCAAATAACTCTTGGGTAAAAGTGAAAACAAAATAGAAATTAAAGAATTTCTAAAAAAATAATAACAAAAACACGACATACCAGAATCTATTGGATAAATAAAGCACTGATCACTGGAAAATTCATAGCCCTAAATATTTACATCAATAAGAATGAAAGAATGGCAATAAATGAATTAAATTCCTAACTTAAAATACTAAGGGGAAAAAAACCAACAAAGTAAATAAAAAGCAGAGGAAATAATATGAACAAAACCATAAATTAATAAGATAAAGAAAAATAAATCAATAAATCAAAATGCTGGTTCTTTGAAGCAATAAACAAAATAAACAAATCACTGGCTAAGGTAACCAAGAAATAGAAGAGGAAAGCACATACATACAATTAAGAAATGACAATGGGATATAACTATTGATACAAAGGAAATTTTAAAATTCATAAGATAAAGCATTGGTTACTTTTATGCAAATAAATTCAAAAACTTAGAGAGAGGCACCTCATGGCTCAGTTGGTTGAGTATCTGCCTCCAGCTCAAGTCATGATCCCACAGTCCTGGGATGAGCCCCACATTGAGACTCCAGTGGGGAGTCTGCTTCTCCCTCTCCCTCTGCCCCTCCCCCACTCATGCATGAACTCATGCTCTCTCTCTCTCTCAAATAAATAAAATCTTTAAAAAAAGCCCTAGAGAAAATAATTATTTTTAGACAAATATAGATAGAAAGCTTAAAACAATCCCCCCCCACAAAAAACAGAAAAATTTATCAAGGAAGTATACCTCACAAAAAAGAAAGAACCAAGGCTGTATGGTTTCACAGGTGAACCCAAACTAATCCTTAGAGATCAGATAATCACAAACTACACAAACTGTTTCAAAGCACAGTAAATGAAAAACTCTAAATCCTTTTTTGCAGCAAATATAACACTTACATCTAAACTTGCTAAGAGAGTACAAAGAAAAAAGTTATAGACCAATATTACAAATATTGATACACAAATCTAAAATAAAATATAAGTGAACATTAAGAATAGAATACACTAAGACCAAGTAAGGTTTATACCATAAATTCAAAGATGGTTCAATATCTGAAAATCTTTTCATATAATTCACATATTGACAGTTCTAAAGAGAAAAATTGTATCTTTATAGATGCTGAAAAAGCCCTTGAAAAAATTAAACACCCATTCCTAATAAAAAAAAATTTCTGAGAAAATAAAAATAGGCAGATATCATAAAACATTTATACTTCAGTCCTAAACCCAACATCTTACATTGATTTGACAAACCCTAGAGGCATTCCCACTTAAGGTCAGAATCAAAACAAGGATGTCCATTTTCTCCACTACTATTTATCACTATTCTGAAGATGCTAGCTATTGCAATTAATTAGAGAATACAATTCAAGAGATAAAAATAGGAAAAGAAGAAATAAAATGATCCCTTTTTTGCAGATGACATGATAACATACCTGGACTCCCCTAAAGAATCAATGACAAAACTTAATGAAACAATAAAAAAATTGAGCAAGATAACATGATGATAAATTAACATGTGAAAATAGCATTTTTTGAAGATAAAATGAATGGGGAGAAAAACCTAAAGATAAAATATTTAGGAATAAACAAGAAATGTTCAAAACCTATATAAAGAAAACTGCCAAACATTCTTTTTTTAATTAAAAAAAGCTTTTTATTTTATTTTATTTTTTTATTATTATTCTTGAATGACACAATGTGAGTTTGAAAAAATGGAAAGACATCTCTTTTTTTTGGTTAGGACAGCTCAACATTACCAAGATGCCAGTTCTCCCCAAGTTAATTTATAAATTTAATGCAATTCTAATAAAAATTCCAATGGGCTTTTCAAATTGGAGCTAGACAAGCTGACACTAAATTTCAGATGGAACATCATAAGTTTTTGTTGCAGTGTTCAATGATTCAGTAGTTACGTAATATGGAAAATAAACTCACATGAAAATGGCAAATACTTAAAAGGAAGAGTTCTTATAGGCACTAGCCTATTGGTATGCTGGAGCTGGCTCACAGCTGATTATAAATATTCAGAAATTTTGTGAGCTGGTGGTTAAACTAGCTTTGGTAGCTTGAAACTGTATAATATATTTATAGAATGTATAGAATTGTGTAATCACTGTATTGTACACCTAAGACTATGATAATATTGTATGTCAACTGCACTTCAACAAAAAGAAAGAAAGAAGGAAAGAAAGAAGCAAACAAACAAATTGGCCAGGAAACTGGCCACAGTGGGCATTTTACACCACTGAAATTGACAAATGCTACAAACCAGGGCTTCTCCCTCCCCTTTTTGGACAGCCAGTTTACCAGCAAACAATCAGCCTAGTCCTAAAAAATTAAAAATATTACAAAGGGTCTATAATTAAAATAGTGTGGGACTTTAACATAAATAAACCCAAAGGAACAGAAGAGAAAGTCCAGAGAGAGACTTGAACCACTTGGACAAAATCTTTTTAATAAATGATCTTGGGACAACTGGTTAGTCATTTGGAAAAAAGTAAAATTAGATCCACTCTTCATACCATATACAAAATAAACTCTAAATGGATCAGAAATCTAAATGTAAAAAGTAAAACCATATATATATGTGGTTTTACTTATATATAGTGTATGCATATACAAAACATATATAAGTACTAAAACATTTAAACTAAAAACACTGATTTCTTCTTTATCTATCTGGGTATAAGGAAAGATTCTTCTAAGTATAAACAGAAATGTGGATGCTTAAAATACATTTAAAGATTTGACTACATAAAAATAGAAACTTTTCCATGGGAAAAATAGAGTAAAATCAAAAGAAAAATGACAAAAATGGAAGAAAATATTTGCAACATATATCAGTAATAAAAGATTAATTTCCCACATTTATAAAAAAATTTAACAAAAAGAGAATATTCCATTAGAAAAATGGGCAAAAGAAATGGACAATTAAAAAAAGAGAGATATAAAACAGCCCTTAAACATATGACAAGATATTCAAATTCACTCATAAAAAGAGAAATGCAAATTAAAACTATACTGAAATACCATTTCTTACCCACCATACTGGCAAAAATTCAGAACTTGACAGTATACTCTGCTGATTAGGCGGCAGGGAAACAGGCACTCTCACCCATAGCTGGTGGGAGTACAAAATACTACAACCCCTATAGAGGGGAATTTGGCACTACTTAACCAAACTATATACATACACATTTACCCCTTGACCCAGAAATTCTGCTTCTGGGAATTTATCCTTAAGATACACCTCCACCAATATGAAAACACATTCACTACAGCCTTATTTGTAATGGCAAATTGTTGAAAACTACCTAAATGTCCAAATGACCTCCAAATATAGGAGGTCAGTTGCATAATTATGGTCATCCATAAAATGGAATACTATGCAGCTGTAAAGGAACACTATGAATATGAAGTGACTTCTAAAAGCAGTGAGAAAAGCAAAGTGAAAAGAAGCATATATAGTATGCTACCTTTGCATATGAAAAGAAAAATAAGAAAAATATATCTGAATGTCATTATCATAAAACTATAAAGCAATATGGGGGACATGGAATGGAGGATATACAGGAGAAAGTAACACTTCTCTGAGTATTACTTTTTGCAGAGTTTTGACTTTTAAAAGCATATTAACCTACATATTCAAAAAAAAGCTAAATCAAGGAAAAAACTAGGAAGGGGAAAAATGAAAAGTGAAAGCAAACTGAAGTAAATGAATCTAATGTTATTTTAAATGCATATCATAATCATAGTAAAAGGGGAAAAAAGCAATTAATCCAAGGAATTTATAAACTCAGTTATTTGACTATATGCTATGCCCTCAAGATTTGGGGGGAGTAGTGTATGGAAACAGGAATTACAAATAGATCATGAACTTTTATGTTGGTCTATTTAATGTAGTGACATAGGTGAAGAAATTTTGAAACTATTTTAGATGCACTCTGGGATTGAGCAAAAGAGTAACATGTACATATTGTTGATAAACACACTGATGTTGAGCAAGGGTTCTCACTGTAGAAAGAAGGACATACAAATACAAAATGAAAAAAGGGAAGGAAGAAACCTGGGAAGGTGGTTTGGAACTGGAGGTATTGGTTATGTTTTTAAAATGTGTGTGTGTGTGTGTGTCCATGTGTGCACGGAGAGAGCAGAAACATATGCAAAAATGTGAGTACATAAGACAGCAAATGTGTTGACTCAAACACAGACATAGCAAATGGAGTAAAATTTTAATGACAGTGAGTATGGGTAAAAGGTATATAGCTGTTCTCTGCATTATTTTATCTTTATAACTTCTTATAAGTTTGAATTTATTTCCAAATAGAGGTGTTTTTACAAAATTTGTGACATATACGAATATATCTAAAATATTTTCCTCTGAAAAATAAACTACTTTCCTAAAGAATAAGTATTTTATGGTGCTATAATTAACCAATATTTTGTTAATGTAAGTATATGGAAAAATTTAAGTTTTAGAATAAAAAGAAAAGATTTTAAAAATATAATTTATGTAAACATTAGATAGAATGAAGATCTTTCATTTTAGCAAATTTATATAAAACTAATGATCAAAATACTTTATATTTGTCGGTATACCTAATCATGTAATTGTGTTTAAATAGCACTATTAGTGATAGATTGATTTGAGCTTCCTTACTTCCTCAAATATTCCCTGTATATTGCTATATGGTCTCCAGAGAATGGATCCTTGAACTACTTACTCTTCTAACGATCGATCTAGGCCTCGGTCAGGAGATCGATGGTGAGCACGTTCTGGTGAATGACATTTTGTATTTGGCTTTATTGTGGAACTCATATGATAAGCATTACTTGAGTAATTCTGGCGGCGAAGTTCTTGTACAGCCCTCTCCCTGAAACAAAATAGTGAGGCTTTTAAACTTTATATCCAGTGCTGTATTAATACCGTCATAAAACTGTAGTTCAGTTCCTAACTTAAAAGCTAACTATCATGAAATTACCAAAATCTGTTATTTAAAAAAAAAAATGCTTTCCAGACTGAACACTGCATAGAGACAAACTTACCTTTCAAAGCGCTCCGTCCCTAGTTGTCGTTTGGTAATGTCTAAATCAGCTTCCAACTGTGTTACAACATTTCTGAACTGGGCCACATCTCTACTCTGGATGGCCCTGTGTAAAAAAGTATGAGTGACAGTTGATTAAATTTAAAATATGTCTAGGACTTAGTACATTAAACCATGTTGGCAATGGTTCCTCAGAGGGAACCATGCCAGACTGTGATTTTTATGGACGTATTAGTACATCTAAAATGTGCCAATTTTAGAAGTAGTAAATGTGAAAGTAGCCTACTTGAAAAAGCTAAGATCTCTTAGTCCCATTCAATTAGTTAGACCTTCTCTGTTTCCCTATGTTTAGATGGGATAATATTATGTTATCTATATTATTTATTTTTTAAAGTACTTTAAGGTATTATATGCAAAGTAGTATTATAAACAAATAATCAACACCATTGTTAGTCCTATTATATATATTTATTAACTCAAGTATTTTGTATATACTTATAATGAAATTTGATATACAAACTGTTAAAAACATAAAATCTCTTCAATTTGACAGGATCCTCCTTAGGGCCAAACATGCCTCAGAAACTCTGTGATAAGGCACACTGTCATAAGGAAGATGATGAAAGCAATGAATGCTGCTTGCACAGGATATTCTATCCTCTCTGCTTGCCAGACAGTACTGTTGACTGCTAAAATCTAAACTTTAGAGATTAAGAACACAAAAGTTTATTATGCTTACCAGTTCTAAGTGATTGTACTTACCAACCAGTCTAAAACAGAATGCATCCCTAAAGGTGAGGGGGTTAGGCATATTTCACTAAGACAGATTTGAGAAAGTGATTCTGCAGAACCAGTTGAAGATATTACAAAAGCCCAGCTACAGTGACAGAAAAGAATGACTAACAGCTGCCATAACCTGAAAACAGTTTGTCAAGGAAACTGGCCCTGGCTTTGCAGGCTTTGCTCAGTCAGGGGCTCCTAGGAGTGACTGATTCCTGAGACCATGATTCTTATCCTTCCCCCCAACCCCCAGGTCCCATGCTCAGATGGGAGGGCAGAGCTGAGGCTGAAAAAGTGTTATAGATGGGACAGATAACAATAGAGGCTAAGAGTCCCCATCAGTTTTTGTGAGAGGTCACCAAGTTTAATAATAAAACATTCAGTGTCCAGGCAGGCATTTCTACCCAACCTTCTAGCCAAAGGTCTTATAATAAGATGGTAATGGAGCTAGGGATGCTTAAAAAAACAAAAAACAAAAAACCCAAAATCAGTGCTCTAAGGGAAGTCTTCAGTATTCTGTGAATGTAGGAGTTCTTCCAGGTACCCAACATATACTTAAAGGTGCATAAGGAAATAGTAAGTGACAAGTCTAAATACTAGGCAGCAATACCAAGTGGGTCCATAAACAGAAAAATTCCTCTGGTTTCAGTAGTGCTTAATTTTTTTCTAAAAACTTGTTATAATATTTGTAAAAGGTAATATTTTAGGTCAGACATTCTATTATATCCAAATCTCTGTTGGAAATAATCAACAAAGATGGTTAAATTTTAAATTTAGATAAACATACAATAAAAATGAGTACTAAATCTTAGGCAAATCACAGTATTTCTGGTTCTCAGTTTAATTAATGGCAAAAGATGGGCACTAAATTGCCTAAATTCCAGCTTTAAAATTCTACTAACCTATAAAGTATCAAAAATTTTAAAAATATGACTTCATGCTACTGAATTGCTTGCCAACTCACATTTTATTTTCTGCCAAACAAAGGTGTTCTTTAAGAAGCTGAATTTCAGATTCTTTTTCTTGAAGCGCTATCTGAGACTGATATTCTTTGTCTCGATTGGCCACCAGCAAAGCTTCTAGATTCTGCATGGAGATTCTCTCATTTGTCATCTGACTCCTGAGGAGTTCTATTTCAGAGCGAGCAGAATCTAATTCATTCTCCATCTGTACGATAATAGGAAGATATTTATACTTATTCCCATTCATTTAACTGATTATCAGAGACTCATAAAATTTCTGTATGTTATAAACTGACAATCCCTTTTAATTTCTTAATTAGAAATTATGTCTTCCTTCTTACCAAACGTACACAGAGTATCACTTTCTCCAACTCTCTGATCATGTAAAAAATTCATTAATGTAACATTAATAATCCCGAACTGCAAAGGATTTCCATTTCCAGCATTTATATTTCTTTATATATTTCTGCAAGACTGACATGGTGCTATACATGACACTGCTTTGTGCTGAGTTAGGTTAGTTACAAACACCTAACTACCTTGTAGAATATTATTGTCCTTCATAGTTAAGGAAGATAAGGAGTAACTGCACATTCCCTCTCTTGCATAAACCTGTGGAAAGCTTCTTCTTTGAAGGTTTTCTTGAGCCTCATAAATGCTCTGTAAGCCAAATGTTTCTTCAAAAGGAGGAAAACCAGATATTGCTATTTAGGAAAAAAGTATTCTTTATCTCATAATACACATTATAATAAATTATATATATATTTAAAAAGTTAAATGTGAAAAAATAAAACTCTAAGAAAAGAGAATTTAATAAAGATGAAATTATGGGGTAGGAGTGAGCAGATAGGGGAAGGACTGTCTAGACTAGATACAATTAAAAATGATGTATAACCATATAAAAAATAAACATAGCAATAGTCAATATAAACCTAACCAAAATTTACAAGGAAACAACTGGAAGAATATAAACTCAGTCTGTATGGTGACAAATGGTAGCTACACTGTATAACCTTATTGAATCATTATGTTGTACATCGAAACTAATGTAAAATTGTGTGTCAAATATACTCAAGTTTTTTTTATTATGTTCAGTTAGCCAAAATATAGTACATAAGTTTTTGTTGTACCGTTCAACGATTCATTAGTTGCGTATAACACCCAGTGCTCATCCCAACAGATGCTCAAGTTTTAAAAAAGTTTTTAAAAAAACTCAATAAGTAAAATTAGTAAAATAAGTTAAAAAACTCAATAAGTTAAATCTTACTACTAAAAGGAACTCATATGAAATGATGAGAAATATGAACAAATGATACAAACAGAAAATCTACAAAATACAACTCATTAGTAAACATATGGAAAAAAAACTACCCTTACTCATAATCAAATAAATACAAAATGAAACAAGATGCTATTTCTAGTCCAGGGTTTCTTAATCTTGACACTACTGATGTTTTGGGTTGGATAATTATTTGGTGTAGGGAGGTGCCTTATGTACTGTAGGATATTTAGCAGCATACCTCTACTCATTAGAGGCCAATAGCATCCCTCCACCCCAGTTGTGACAATCAAAACTGTCTCCAGGGGCACCTTGGTGGCTCAGTCAGTTAAGTGTCTGACTTAGGTCAGATCATGATCTCAGCGTTCTGGGATCGAGCTGTGTTGGGCTCCATGCTCAGCAGGGAGTCTGCTTCTCTCTTTCCCTCTCCCTCTGACCTTCCCCCAACTTGTGCGTGCACTCTCTCTCTCTCTCAAATAAATAAATAAATAAATAAATAAATAAATAAATAAATAAATAATCTTAAAAAGAAAAGTCTCCAGACGTTGCTAAATGGCCACAGGGGAGCAAAATCTCTTTCAGTTGAACCACTGTTGTGGTTTATCAAATTGGCAAATTTCTTAGTGCATATTAACATTAAAATGGGCAATGGCAATTTCATACACTCTGCCAGGAGGAATATAAAATGGAGTGTCAATTTTTTTTTAGAATCACTTCTTTTTGGTGATAGTTTTATTGGATTATAATTTACATACCATACAACTCACCCACTTAAAGGTACAATTCAACTGTTTTTTTGTTTGTTTTTATTTAAATTCCAGTTAGTTAACATACAGTGTAATATTAGTTTCAGGAGTAGAATTTAGTGATTCATCACTTACATATAACACCCAGTGCTCATCACAACAGGTGCCCTCCTTTACACCCAATCACCCATTTATCCCATCCCCCACCTACCTGCCCTCTAGAAATCCTCAGTTTGTTCTCTGTAGTTAAGAGTCTCTTCTATGGTTTGCCTCCCTCTCTTTTTTTCCCTTTCCCCTACATTCATCTGTTGTTTCTTAAATTCTTCATATGAGTGAAATCATAACATATTTGTCTTTCTCTAACTGACTTATTTCACTTAGCATAATACACTCTAGCTCCATCCACATCACTGCAAATGGCAAGATTTCATTCTCCTTTATGGCTGAGTAATAATGATGCAAAAAAAGCATTTGACAAAATAAGGCATCCTTTCTTGATAAAAACCCTCCACAAAGTAGGGATAGAGGGAACCTCAACATCATAAAGACCATATATGAAAGACCCACAGCTAATACATCCTCCAAGGGGAAAAACAGCTTTTCCCCTAAGGTCAGGAACAAGAAAGGGATGTCCACTCTCACCACTGTTGTTCACAGTACTGGAAGTCTTAGCCTCAGCAATCAGGCAACAAAAAGAAATAAAAGGCATTCAAATTGGCAAAGAAGTCAAACTTTCACTCTTTGCACATGACATGATACTTTATGTAGAAAACCCAAAAGACTCCACCAAAAAATTGCTAGAACTGATGCAGGAATTCATCAAAGTTGTAGGACATAAAATCAATGCAAAATCTGTTGCATTTCCATACACCAACAATGAGGCAGCAGAAAGAGAAATCAAGGAATCGGTCCCATTTACAATTGCACCAAAATCCATAAGATACCTAAGAATAAACCTAACCAAAGAAGTAAAAGATCTGTACTCTGAAAACTATAGAACGCTTATGAAAGAAACTGAGGAAGACACAAAGAAATAGAACATTCCATGCTCATGTTTCAGAAGAGCAAATATTGTTAAAATGTCTATAACTACCCAAAGCAATCTACACATTTAATGCAATCCCTATCAAAATACCACCAGCATTTTTCAGAGAGCTAGAACAAACAATCCTAAAATTTGTATGGAACCACAAAAGACCCCAAAGAGCCAAAGCAATCTTGAAAAAGAAAAGCAAAAGCTAGAGCCATCACAATTCCGGACTTCAAGCTATATTACAAAGCTGTAGTCATCAAGACAGTATAGTACTGGCACAAAAACAGACACATAAATCAATGGAATGGAATAGAAAACACAGATATGGACCCCCAACTATATGGTCAACTAATCTTTGACAAAGCAGGAAAGAATATACAATGAAAAAAAGACAGTCTCTTCAAAAAATGGTGCTAGAAAAATTGAGGAAATCCTTTGAATCTATTTTTTCTGTTGTGGCCTGTGCTTTTGATGTGGATCTAAGAAAGCATTATCTAACCCAAGGTCACAGATTTTATTTGAGAGAGAGAGAGAAAGAGAACGAGCAAGGGGGAGGAGGAGAGGGAGAAGCAAACTCCCCACTGAGCAGGGAGCCCAATGTAGGGCTTGATTCCAGGACCCTGAGATCATGACGTGAGCCGAAGGCAGATGCTTAACTGACTGAGCCACCCAGGTGCCCCAGATTTTGTTCTTTTTCAAGATTGTTTTGGCTACTCTGGGTCACTTGAACTTCCATATTAATTTTATATCATCTTGCCAATTTCTACAAAGAAACCAGCTGAGATTCTGATAGGTATTGTATTGAATCTGTAGATCAATTTGGGGGTAGTATTGCCCTTTTAACGATGTTTAGTCTTCTAATCCATGAATACAGATGTCTTTCCATTTACTTAGGTCCTCTTTAATTTTTTTTTTTAGCAATGTTTTCTAGTTTTGTAAAGTACAAGTTTTGCACTTCTTTTGTTAAATTTATACCTAAGTATTTTATTCCTCTTGGTGCAATCCCTTTTGATACAAACTCATCTGATGAAATTGTTTTATTTTCATTTTTGGATTGTTCACTGCTAGTATACAGAGATATAAATGATTATTGTATATTGGTCTTGTATCCTGCAACCTTGATGATCTCATTTATTAATTTAGGTTTTTTAGCATATCCCTTAAGGATTTTCCATATCCAAGATCATGTCAGCTGTGGATAAAGATAGTTTTACTTCTTTATCAATCTGAATGCCTTTTATTTCTTTTTCTTCCTTAATTGCTCAGGCTAGAACCTCTAGTACAATGTTGCATAGAAGAGGTGAGGAGGGCATTCTTATCTTGTTACCGATAAGAAAGGGGGAAAGCATTCAGTCTTTCAACATTAAGTATGATGTTAACTCGGGGATTATCATAGATGCTCTTTATCAAGTAAAGTTACCTTCTGTTTCTAGTTTATATTGTTTTTATCATGACATGGTGCAGGATTTTGTCAAATGCTTTTTCTGCATCTATTGAGGTGATCATTGGTTTTTGTTCTTTATTCTAACGATATGATATATTTCACTAATTGGTTTTCATGTATTAAACAAACCTTGTATTCTGGGGATACATCCACTTGATCACGGTAAAAATTCATTTTACGTGCTGTTAGATTCAATTTTCTAGTATTTCCTTGAGGATTTTTCATCTAAATTCATAAGAGATATTGATTTGCAATTTTCTTATGCTGTCTTTGGTTTGGGCATCAGGGTAATACTAGCTTTCATTGGGGAAGTTCTTCCTTTATTTTTGGAAGAGTTTGTGAAAATCTGTATCAATTCATCTTTAAACATTGGAAGAATTTACAACTAAAGCCATCTGGGCTTCAACTTATCTTTATGGAAGTTTTAAAATCACTAACTCAATCTCTACTTGTTATAGATATATATAGATTTTCTATTTTTCCTTAAGTTGGTTTCAGTATTTTCTTTCTGGGAATATACTGATTTCACCTAAGTTATGTAACTGGTGGCATTTAGTTGCTCATAATATTCCTTCAGAATCCTTTTATTTTCTTTAAATTAGTCGGGATGTCCCCTTTTCATTCCTAGTTTTAGTATTTGACTTCTCTTTCTCTCTCTCTCTAGCTAAAGTTTTATCAATTTTGTTGATATTGTGAAAGACCA